CTTTATAGAGTTTATTTGTCCTACTACAATTTTCATGTCATTGTCTCTCTTAAGGTTTGGTTTCCCATCTTATGTTTTTGGAATTTCAGGAGGGCACAGCAAGGGGCAACAGTGAAGGGAAAGAAGCAAAATCTCCACACAAATTTCCCCAAACCTGAAAATAAATAAAACATATTTCTTAGACTGTTTCCTCTATAAAGTATGCTCCACAATGAGGTAAAAGAATATATTATTATGATACCTAGCTCTTTATTATGCATTTAATAGTGCTTTTAGCCATAGCACACATGACCCAGTTCTTTCTTCCGAACTAGAATTCAGCTTGTAGCCTTACAACATAGTGCCCAGTCAACTTGACCAGAAATTGTGAAGAAATCTGACCTTAAAATGAAGAAACACCTTCAAAGATTTGCAACTTCACAAGTTAAATTTGTGGTGTTGTGATAAGGGGTTTTTGGGCCTTTGGAGTTCTTTTTCTTCTCATTTCTACTGGAAGAGCCCATATTATGGACTGAGGGGAAGGTAATCTGTTTCCTGATAGAAGCTCTGTCATTCTGTTTCCACTGCGAAAGACCCACACATTACAAATTCCTATCTTAGAAAATTAAAAACCCGATCTTAACTAAAAGCTTTTAACATAAGTGAAGAAAGTTTAAAATTAGGTGTATTGCCCTATATGCTGCTAAAGCAAACAACATACAGATACTCATTACTCCTAGTACTTTTTTCTAAAGCTTTTCTGAGAACACTTTTCCAAGGAAGGGATCCCAAGAAAGCCACAGGATGTACTAAGCTTCTGCCAGAAAATTTGCAGTTGCTGCTGAAATGTTTCACTGCGTGTAAAAGAGAGGAAGTAGAACAAGGCTAAAACAGCTTTAGGCAAGAATGGCTGAAAGGATGTTGGAGAGAGGGCTGCAAACCAATTACTGCATGATGGAATAAAACCAGATAATGGTGGACACCGATAAGCGACTTGCAGTGCAGCTTGGGAGACTGATTTGTTCTTCTAGCTCGCTTAAGCTGCTGGAGAGTTTGAGGTGAAACCTAATGATTCATGTCTGCTAGCCAAATGAATCATTCAACACTGGACAGCTATCAAAACTGTGCTGTTTTGCTATTTGGAGAGAGTACAAGCAGCAAAAAAATAAAAAAATAACCACAAAAAAAAAAAAAAAAAAAACTGCTCAAGTTCTGAAAGCTCTGATTGGCACCAAGCGGAACACACCACAGAAAACATGGCAAGTTCTCTGGAAATATAGACAAGTTTTTGACAGCCAAGGCCAAAGTGTGGTCTGTCAATTCTCTGGAAGAAAAGGAAAAAAATAATAAGTTATCTGGGAGTAGAACCTTGTCTGGGAGACAATTAATGTAATAGCAGGGATGGGAACTGAACAAAATTACACATCACAGCAAATAATGGGATTCAAAAGTGTGTTGGGTTTGCTTGGCCAGGTTTTGGTAGTGGGGGAGCCACAGGACTGGTTTCTGTGAGAAGCTGCCAGAAGCTTCCCTCATGTCCAGTAGAACCAATGCCTGTGCCAGGATGGACCCACCACTGGCCAAGGCCTAGCCAATCAGGAATGATAGTAACACCTCTATGATAATATTTAAGGGGAAAAGGTTATCGTGCAGATTTAAGTGCACTCAGAGATGAGAGGAGTGAGAACATGTGAGAGGAACAGCTCTGCAGACACCAAGGTCAAGTGAAGGAATGGGAGAAGGTGTTCCATGTGCCAGAGCTGAGATACCCCTGCAGCCTCTGGTGAAGACCATGGTGAAACAGGCTGTTTCCCTGTAGCCCATGGAGGTCAATGGGAGTGCAGAGATCCACCTGCAGCCCATGGAGGAGACCCATGCTGGAGAGGGTGGATGTCTGAAAAGAAGCTGTGAAGCCATGGGAAACCTGTGCTGGAGCAGGCTCCAGGGAGGGACCTGAAGACCTGTAGAGAGGAGCCCACACTGTAGCAGGTTTGCTGGTATGACCCTGTGGTGGACCCACGCTACATATATATATATATATATAGCAGGCTGTCCTTGAAGGACTGCACCCTGTGGAAAAGTGACCCATGCTGGAACAGTTTATGAAGAACTGTAGCCCACGGGATGGACTCATGCTGGAGAAATTCATGGAGAACTGTCTTCTGTGGAAGGAACCCCACGCTGGAGCAGGGAAAGGACTCTTCTTCCTGATCAGTAGCAGGAACAGTGTGTGATGAACTGACCATAAACCCCATTCCCCACCTCCCTGTGCCACTGTGGGGGAGGAGGTAGAGCCTGGGAAGGTTAGAAGGGTAGGGAAAAGGTGTTTTTAAGAATTTTTTTACTTCTCAATTATCCTGCTATGATTTTTTGGTAACAAACTCAGTTAATATCCCCAATTCGAGTCTGTTCTGCCCATGACAGTAATCAATGAGTGATCTCTCCTTGTCCTTCTCTCAGTTCTTGACTTTTTGTTATATTTTTTCTCCCCTCTCCTGTTGCAGAGGGGAGTTATAGAGTGGCTTTGGTGGATACTTGGGATCTAGCCAGGGTCAACCCAACAGAAAAACCATAGTGAAAAATCAAGTTGCTGGTGACAGACCAACAAAAGGGCTGCAGTATGACTGTTTTATATCTGCCAGCTAAAGCCAGGACATGTTATAGTGACACACATGCAGTGGAGTTGGTCAAAGTCTACAATAGCTGTTATTGCATACCATCATCAATTCTAGGCAATTAAAAAAAATATATAGTCAAATCTAGACAATATAAATCTTAACTTATAAGGAGATTCGTATCTATGAGAACATTTCACTCCATTCCTCCAAAATTCATTCCAAAATCAATTTAGGTCTTATGATAACTAGCTGGTCCAAAATCAATTAAGTCTTCTCTACAAGTCCCATGTGAAAAACACAAATCAGCACTGACTGTGGATAACACAGAAAGGGTGTGACTCGGGGGAAACACAATGTGCTATCCAATTTTCCTGTGCTCCTACAAAAACCAAATATATTGTGCATCCACCAAAGTGAAGAAGGATGCTGAACATCCATTGGCCTTCTCCAGATTTACGTATACATGGAAATGCCCTGCTCGCTCTTTTACCTGTTTCTTTCTGCAGGATAAACATAGCATACAGAAGAATTCCTTATACTACACTGTTATTCTGATATCCATAGCTCTCTTATGTCTCCTTTAAAATAAAATTTTTTAAATATTAGAATCTAAAGTTAGTCTTCTGCAGAACCACCACTCTCTAGGGAATTCCAGCACAGCAGAAAAAAAAAAGTAGTCCTGAATAAATCAAGAGAAAAATACTGTTAATTATTTCACTGCTGTTAGTCTCATGTGCATTTCTGTGGCACTCCTTTGTTACACATTGAAAGTATTAGCATATGTGTCTGCAATCTCGAAGAATCCTTTACATTTCAGCAATTAAACTGACAAAAATGGGACATGAGGAAATGGAACAAAGTTGTGCTAGGGAAACTTCAGATCGGAGGTTAGGATGGGTGCTTGGACACAGGAACAAGCTCCCCAGGCAAGTTATCACGGCACAGATCCTGTCAAGAGTTCGAGGAGTGTCTGGATGATGCTCTTATTCATATAGTTTGGTTTTAGGTGGTCCTGTGAGGAGCAGGGAGTTGGACTCAATGGTCCTTATGAGTCCTTTTAAAATGAGATATACTATGACTCTGTGATTCCCTTCAATAGATAATTTTGTAGTAATTTTTCTAAAAAAAAGAAGTCCATATTTAGCACACACCTGCTTCATTACAATTAATTAAAACAAGATGTACATTTACAAGACTTGTTAGATCTTGATGTTAAAAATGAGAATATTTTTCCATTTTTTTTTTTTCATAAGTTGTGTGATATTATTTCTACAGCACTGAACCTTGGGAGCTTGGGATTAGGACAAAAAATTTTGAATTTGAAAACACTTATAAACAAATTTGTCAGACCTCATGGCTGAAAAAGTAATCTGTAAACATAATTCAAGTATACCCTGAAGGTTTAGAGATTGAACTATTATTTTATTTTGGGAGTGTTGAATCATGATTTTTCAATACTTTGAGCTGGCAGCTGCAAGACACTTGCAAGCTGGAATTCCAATTTAATGAGTAGCCTATAGAAATATTCAGGCTATCATTAGAAACATTTCACACTCGAGTCAATCCATACCAGAAAGTTTGCAGAGATAAAAAATAACTGGAAAATATCGCTGAGGCAACAGGAACTATAAATTCTTAAAACCTCTTAATATTTATATTAGGGGGGGAGGGAGCGGGGTAGGTGTATGTTTGTTTGTTTTAGAAAACCTAACCGCAGTCTCTCAGACTTTATAATGGTGATTACTGCAAAGACAAGAATAGACTTACCTGATGAAAGTAGTTAATGTTTTTTTGCACTAAAGAATATTTGAGACAGGCTAGTAGGTGAAAAATATGAAAAACGCTAGGCTTACATTGTGAACTATAATGATATGTTTCATATATTTTCTTTCTTATGTTCCTCAAAATTTTCCCACAGAAAAGATACCCTCTCCAGGACAAAGCATTTGCCTAGTTTTACAGACCATTATGGGTTTTTTTCATCCCCTGCACTTTTGTGCTAGTAACCACTTAAACTGCTTTTTGTGCTGTATACATGTATTTTACTGAATATATCAGCTTCAGCCCTTCAACCCTGTACTGGTAGACTATCAATTTAAAATATACTTCTATGTAATGAATCTTTTGTTCAGATGCAGTTTTATATGTGGAAAACTGTGAGGAAATTGCTGCCACACTTCTACTACTCTTTCATCTGAATGAAGAAAACAGATATGGCCAAAAAAACCTGCTTAGATTAGCTAATGTGTCCCACATAGATTTCTTCAGTCCATGCATCCACGTATTATAATAAACCACGTATTGCACTAAGTTTAAAGTGAAATTGCAATCACATAAACAGGACGACGATACATTTGGTTTTAGCACATCAAAATTAACATTTTCCTTTTAGATTGACTGGACTCACCTGTCAGAAGAGAAACTGTAATAATCACTTTCCTCTAGAACCTCTTCAATTAAGAGTCTACAACAAAAAAGAACTTAATTTCAGTAAATCATCTTCATTAAAAGTAATAAATGAATACATATGGGTATACACACAGCTTACCTGCTCATATGTCATCCCTTCTGCCATGTCAGAAGTGCCAATCATGCCTTAAAGTAAAAAGCAAGTAATGTTATACTATTGAATTTGGAATTTATGCTCCCTTATAAGTTTCTTAGCAATTCCACTACAAATATAATGACAAGAGAGATTCTTCGTTATCAGTAACTTCCACTGACCATAACGAACCCCTGAAATGGTGAGGTCATCTAATGTGAACATTTGCATGATGCGAACATTTGATGAGCACATTATGAAAGCGTTCAAACTGATGGAAAATGAAGACTTTATCAAATACAGCTTTCTTATTTTTTCCCACTTACAATTTACAATGGGAAGGGCACATAGCCAGCAGCAATTTGTGAGGACAAAAGTATTGTCTGCAGGTTAAAAGATTCAAAAATTACTGATAATGAGCATCTCAAAAATTGCATTGTTGTCTCTGGGAACAAAATAATGCTCATATTTAAAGTGATTATTAGGGACTCATTTCCTACTCAAATATCACCCTTGACATCTAGTATTAATTTTGGTTTTTGCAATAAGCTGTGTAACTGATAAAACTAGAATGTTTCAACACCAAGCCCACCAAAACCAAAGCTTCTCACTTTTCTTTCTGGTGTCACAGATTTTTAATGTTACTGTGTCCTCTAGTTCATGGACTGCAACATAGCTTTTCCTGCATTTAGAAGAATGTAAATGGCACAGCTACCAAAACACAGGCTGCACCTTTCCCTTATGTCCACTGCACAAAGAAGCACATGATGAAACAAGTCCCTGGAGCAGGAATTGTGGTTCCCCACCCTGGATGATGCCACAGCTGTAGGTTTTATTAAAAATGGTGTTTATGATTTGTTTTATGCTGAGTATCACTTGCCCAAAGCATATTTGACATATATATTGTTATATTTTCTGAAGTGTATACACACACACACACACATATTTTCCTTCTTATGTTTGTATGGCTTGATCTAAGCTACCAAATTAAACCAACCCGTCGTAACTGTTCCAAACATGACAAAAGAACAACATAGGGCTTAAACAGAGTTTGATTAAAAATCATGTTCAAGGACAGGTAAATCTTAAGCATGACATTTTTGGTTACAAACATTTTAATTAGTTTTCATGGATGAACCATGGATTACTTGCATCTTTGATATTTCTTTGTAATTCCAAAGTATACTCTCTTAAATTAGTAGAAATTTCCAGCAATGGTAAACTGCACATCTTACTAGGAATTAAACAAAACAAAACCAAACAAACCCTGATAAGGAAAATCAGTACAGTTGGCATAACTTCACTGTCTTAGAAACTAAAACAGATCTTAGAGCAGCAATTCCTTCTGCTTTGATACCATACACTTTATTAGAAATCTATATGCAACTACAGAAGTTTTGATGCTTTGTTTACCTTTTCTATCATCTAGAAGCAACGTATTTCCATCTGAAGAAAGAAGTACCATGCGCCAATCTGCTGTGAAGATGTTGGACTCAATCAATTCAGGAGAACCTTGCAGCAACTGGGGGGGGGGGGGGGGGGGAAAGAAAAAGAAAAGAAAGGCAATTGAAATCTCCATCCTTCCCATTTGCCAAAACTTCAGACTTCTGAGGTAGTTTACCCTTTCCTATGTTTCCCAGTGTAATCAGAAGTCAAGAGATTTCAACTCTTTTTACATTAATCAAAAAGTGGTGAACACAATTATGAACATTCTACCTTCTTCTCTCCAGAAACACTAACTGAACATTACAAGCTGCCAATCTGCACTTAGTATAACGCACTGAGTTCTTCAGACTATCTGAATAAAATGTCATAAATTATACATTTGCGTGAAGATTAACAAGGAAGTGTATTCTCTTGAACCACAGAGAGAAGCAGCTGACTGGTTTTCAAAACTGGGGCTTCAAGTGAAACTGTAAGCCCATATTCAAGCAGCATAATTCCCATTGGAGGGATGCCAGAGCTTCCGAAACCTGAAAGTCAGTTGAACAACTCGATTATATGAACAAGGATATTGACGTTAAACTTAAAAACATCTAGTTTTGAAAACACCCCCTGGCAACATCTCTGACAGGAAAGTACCCTTGTGTGCAGGAAAGAAATTCCAGTTATGCATTTCTGCAGCATGATAACACTTTTACAGAAACAGAAGAATATCTCTTGCTGAAAGACCTTTACCCCACCACTGATCAGTGGAGGAATCTTTTTGTCTGTTATTCTAATGAGGTTTTCTAATTTGTCATAGTTAGAAAAAACACCATTATTTTTAAATTTCATTTGCAGAAAATGCACAACCTCTTAACACTTACTGGAGGAGTTCAACCTAATTTTTTTCTCTATTTAGGTTCCTCCCACTACCTCCAAATGACATCCATGCTACCCAGTGCATTCATGGTGGTGATTTTGGTAAATCATGTAACATCATTTACTGATGCTTGTCAATTCTCCAACCTTCTAATTGTACTTCCTCTTTTTGCTATTAATAGTTTCTATAACTATTTCCTTCAAGTTGGAAATGCCCAGAATTGCATACGACATTTCAAATATTTTAAATTTGCTACCATTTACATTTTATATAGCACATTTCTTCCCTTTTCTTGAGGTTGAAATCAAATAGTCTCAAAGCTAACACCATTTTACATTTGCTAATAACATTTATGAATAGTTTCATTTATTTCTAGACACTTGAAAATTAGGTTAATTTTATAACAAACACTTCCTTTTTCTTACTCAATTTTTGGGCATCAGTATTTGAAAACATCAACTCAATACACAAAATGAGCAGATATTTCTTAGATTTAATGTTACGGGTGAAATACAGGAATTATTTAATGTATAAGTCCCAACCTGATTTACAATTTTCAAATTGGCGTGAAACCAGTAACTCAGCAAGAAGCATCTTTAATTATCTTTCTAATGTACTACCAATGTAAACCAAAGTAAACACTAAGCAGCCACCTTCCATGAAGCTTAAGCATCTGAGGTTAATTATTACAAAAGCACAGGAAGGATTCAGCATTTGGGGTCAGTCTATTTTGTAGCAAACAACGCAGAAGATTCTACAGTTCAGTGCAACCAGGTAACAATCAAATTAGGTTACACAGGAGAATAACATGAATGATAATAAATCACCTTAGTCATCAAATTTTAGGTACAATAAAAAATCTAAAACTGCTTTGTCATCAATTCAGTCTTAGCTTCAGAGTCTCCCCCAGAACATAGATGACCAGGAAGTAATTTTCAGATCCTTTGCTGATTACAGTGCTCTCAGGGGATTTTGAAGGAACAAGTAGAAATTCTGATATTATTGTTAGCTCCTTTTACATTGGAGAGCATCCAGCCTGTCACTGGAAAATATGTAGGTACAGTTCTTTAGTCAGGCCATTCTTACGAATCTGCAGTGATGACACTGCATCATTTTAAAATGATGACACTGAACTGTTGCTGACACACCATGCAACCATGGGACAAGGTATTCAAGGCTCTCTGGGACATTGCTTTCCTAAAATTAATGGTTTGAATAGGAATATATTCCAAAACATGAAATATACTGATAAAATATTAACAAATTAAGAAGAGTTTACATAAATTAAGATCTTACATAAATTCCAGTTGCATTTCCCTTCCTCTTGTCTTTATGAGGTCTGATGAGATGAAGTCTGGTTTTGTGTGCTAGAAGCTCACGGGTCATTTCCATTTATAAAAAAAACATTCTAATGATGAGACAAAAACTTGAAACCAACCTGCAGAAACTACTCACTTAAAGAACCTAAATATTTGCCAAATAAAGGATATCTAGAGAATATTCTAAACGTTTTTTTTTTAATGGACTCTTACACTTATATTTTTGTGATACTAATATTGATTGCATAATTCAAATAGAGAAAGAGACAAAGTCAATGTAATAAATGATGTACCAAACCTTTTTCATTTCTGATTTCAGATTACAAGGATTGCTCTGCCGACTGAAGAGGGGCTTCTTGAACCTCTCAATGATTCTCCTTTTCAAGTTGCATTACAAAGCTAGAGGAAGCTACATGAAACAAAGAAACAAAGATGTTTCCACCACTCAGTTACACCTTCCATAAAGATCACCCATTCAGCAGGACCCTCATTGGAAAAAGTAGCTACGTTTCAAAAAGAAACATTGATATCTAATGGCATGGTGACAAACAACAGCACAAGACTTGATTTAATAGCATATTATAATAAGGCTCCTTGGTTTGCCCGTTCTGTTAGGTTTGGTTTATCATATAACTCAGCTCCTCAAGTGTTGAAGGTCAATACTATCATACAGTTACAACTAGATTTCCCTCCCTGATCAAAGCGCAAGTATTTGGGACATTTTTCTATAGATGAAGCCCATCGACCATTAGACTAGATTTCATGTTGGCTGTAATGAGTCGATTCAAACGAAATGAATGGAATTTCAAGAACCTTAGACCTCCATTCAGTGTGCATAGAATCACTTTAACAGGCTCTTTTACAGTCTTTATGGGTCTTACCAGAATTCAGAACGTCTCTTTCGCTAGAGACTACCTGTGGGAGGAGGTAACCTACATTTCACTTGTCTATAAAGCCTAACTTATTTTGTATACTTTTTCCTCCTGTATTTTTTGGTTGAAAATAAATACGTATTTCATCTTTATTTACATTTTTTATAAAAGTACAAATCATACTTTATAGTGCCTAAAGTCTTTAATATCGATTTCCAAGGATGTCTCTTCCTTTTAAATATTTTTTATGCTGCAGCAGTAAATGTAAAAGTTCCACTATTGGTCACCGCAACGACACCAACTCAGTCTGACAACAATTGGATGGTATGTTGCTACCCTTTTGAAATCATATCCTATGCTGTTTCTGTATAATTGCTTATACCTGCAGACACTGTTTGAAAAACTATGATCATCTACCATTTGGTATACACTTTATACTCACATCACTGATGTAAATTCATGAAGTGCCACTCCACTGCATTCAGAAAGCTTTTTGACTACTTAAGAAGGGTTTGACCACTAATGATTCACATTCAAACACTGACACAGTACACATTATAAAGACATTTATCCCACTGGAACAAATTACTGTTTTTAGACAGCTATAAATTCAGAACGGTTTTATTGGGCCCACAGGAGTCCTGATTTGCTCTGACAAACTGGAGATCAAAGTCACGTTCTATGCAAAGAAGACTTTACCAGACAGCTGATTGCATACAGGTGTTCTGTTACATACAGATACTACCCTCTTTTCACGCAGATAAGGCCTTACACATATGCTTTAAGTCAGATGTTGAATGTTTCTTAGCCCATAAGCCAGTAAAAAACATTATGCCTTAGGAAAGGCTTGCAAGATGTTCTATAGATTACATACCAGTGCAATCAGCTGTGTGCAGTTAATGTACCGTGGGCACACTGGGATATACTGAAACAGAAGCGGTAAAGAACAAGTCCACTGCTTCAGAAACTTGGAGTTGCCTTAGGCACTAGTGTTCAATTTTAGCTTTTGTTTTAATGAAATCAGCTGTCAGATCAGTTAAAAAAAAAAAAAAAAGAAAAAAAAAAAGAAAAAAAAAAGCCAAGGATTTACATAATGCTTTTTTAAAAGCTTTTTCTTACATTGTTTTCCAGAGATCACTCTGATTCTTGTTCCCATGGAAACTGGGTTGGGAAGGCTGCTGGCAGCCAAGAACTAACAGGCAAGAACTCTCCCTTGCAAACTTCAGTTTAGAATTGTCAGCTGAAATATGTAACAGGCTTTGATAAAACAGCTATATATTATAAAAAATATTTGACCTTAGACTTGTAAGAATGTAAGTACAAGAGAAGCATATAGTACAGAGTAAACAAGCACAGGTATGCTTTCCCATTCTGAATCCGACTGACACCAAAAGCACCAAAGTTCTTGCTGCTGCTTCACTGGTCAATTTTGAGTCAGTTTGTGAGTTGCTGTTGGTTCTCAGTTATTGGGCATCCACGTTGTGATAACTTGTATTAATTAGTAGGCCACTTGATAAAACCTTCTTCAACAGAGAGGACAGGTTCACTAATGAGCATCTTGGACATACTCCTCATATACTATGTAAAGACTGAACTGCTTCGGTACTGCTAGTGGGAGAAGGAGATAATTTCCAATTATTTTAAATTATGATTATTTTCTTTGTCTTTGATAATTTAATTCCTGTATTACCTGTTTTGATAAGCTTGACAGTTAAAAAAAATTAAAAAAAAGAAAAAAAGAAAAAAGAAAGAAAGAAAAAAGACATGCAAAGCACACTCAAGTTCAGTTATGCTACTCTGTTTTAAATAAAACCAAACAAATTTGGCTCATCAATCTGAAAATCCCTGAGGTGATAATCATCATATCCCAAAGATAAACACTTCATTTTGAAAAACAAAAAGATTTTATTTAAGAATAGCAAGTAGCTGCATGGTTGCCATCTTTCCAGAGCATAAAAAGTTTTCCATCACAAATTTAGTGGAGAGTTCAATGCAGATTTGTATCACCTCCATTTTTGCTTTGGAATCAGCATGAAATAACTTCAACTCTCTTCCACTACGAAGCATTTGAACTTAATTTTAAAATAAGTCTTAAGTTTGAAAAAGATCTGACATTCAAAAACATTTCAAAACACTTAACATATTCAGGATTTGAATTATTGCACTAAAATCCCATGAAAGCATTACTACTTATTGATAATAAAAAAATTTAACCTTGAAGTTATTTAGGAACTATTGCTATAGAGGAAAGCATTTTATATACTCTCCAATTCAGTATATGATATTGTCACCTTAAATAATCATATTGCTAGTATGACAGAACATTATAAAAATAATTTACTGTACAATCCATTTTTCTGAGGTGAGCCACTGATTTTTTTTCGTATGACTCAATTATTGCCATCCTCCACATACTAATATTCAGCGTTAGTCTTTATTTAAATGATATATTTTTAAAGCATCCTGCCATCTGCAAAAATGTCAAGTTCTGTTGTTTTTAAAGAACAGTGACTAAATTAGCAGCACTTTGCAGTACCATCATTTTGACAACAGCAAATAACTAAAAAGTATAGAATGTCAGAAGCAACAGTAAGGCAAACTTGAGTGATGAAGATAATTTTGTGGAGCTGAATAAGAATCTGCTGAACAGGGTCACTGATCTGACGCACCTTCCTCTGTGATACAGCAATTCCTGCCGATGCTGTAGAAGACAAGAATAAAATCAGGAGGGCAGCTCATTTTGTTACCTTAACCTGTAGATATAAACGCTAAGTTTAAATGCATGACTTGTTTTTCCAATAATGTTGCAAACAGAAAAAGGATAATGTAAAATATTAAAAATTTAGGCAATGCAATTGAATACATGTGTCAAAAGAAAATCCCTTTCTCTGAATCATTAAATTATGCTAAGAGAAAAACAGTATTAATGTACCTTACCAATCATTAAAGTTTTCTCACATTTATTTAAAAGGAAATTTAAATATATGATACATAGAATTTTCTTAACTGATTTTTTTTTACATTGACTAACACACATATTTACTTTTTGTATATTTTGATGTTATTAAATTTATTTTCAATCTACCCAAAGAATTACAATAACATATCTCACATGGACCATATTTATCAATTGTTGTTTAGGATTTTTAATCTTGTGTATTTAAATCATACACACTGTCAAATTCAGAGATGAAATAAAAGTTTATCAGCAGATTGTCACTATAAAACATTTAGTGTATCACTAAAGAATATTCACAAAATTATCTTTCCAAGTTGAGTATTAGACCTGGAAGCTAAGCAAGGACCTTTGGCCCAAGTATTGAACTTCAGCCAGCAGCCCTGTATCTCTCTTAAATACAGTTCTCTAAACTACACTTCAGAGGCTAATTTAGATCCATATTCTAACATTTCTTCATACAGCAACACCCTGAGGATCATAAAGTCTTACGTAAAAATTTATATGCACAGAAACTTTTTTTTTTTTTTTTTTGGCATAATGATCCTGCATCGAGAATAAAAATTCTACTGAGTAGGCAATAAAATTCAAATACCACATTAACTCATTCACAGCAGTACAATTATCAGGGTTTTTTTTGCTGTTGAATTTCTGTACTGGCTATTTTAACAAGAAGTAGAAGACAGACATTCACAAACTGAAGTGTCTAGGGACTATGCAGTTCTGAGCTGTGCTATCACAGAAACAGAGAGATACAGAAAAAGTCCTTTTCTGTCACAGAGTTTCTGTCACATGTTTCTAGTAGTATCAGGAAGATGATGATGTCATTGCTGTTATTGGGGCTCTTGTGGCCTTTTTGCACATCTGTTGATAGAGTCAAGTGAAATTCAGTTTGATACTTTTTCCCCAAGTCTTCCCTTAATGATGAGTAAGAGTCTTGCATTTCCCCTGAGTTACTTGGAGAAAAATTTAGATTGTTTTTTCTGGTCAGGGTGACAGTGGTAGCCATGCTGTAATAATCTAAAATACATACCACCAGAAGAGCAATTTGGATTTAGCTCTTTCTGCCTCATTTTCACCTCTCTACCAACACTGCTGTATTCAGTCTCCACTGCTGTTACTACCTATGAATCTTCAGCTTTTGTTAGGACACTCAGAACACCTTTAATTCCTTGACGTTATCTTTTCCCCTATTCCCCGTTATGTGGTATTTGTCTTCTTTTTTCCTGTCAATGGCTTATAAAACAAACCAAAAGAAAATAAATCAGTGCCCTTTCTTTTGTGTGTCTTCACATTTTTTTTTTCAAATAAAAGTATGTATAGAATGATAGCAGCAAACAAAAATGACTGAGTAGGGTATAACATGGATTTCCCTTTTTTCCAGTATGACAGCAATAATATGACCTAAAATTCTAAGAGGACCATATGTAGTGTCTCCTTGTAGTGTATAGGTGCTTCAAAGACAGCTGGAGACCCAGTGTTAAGCTAGGAACTTCAGGAGTACCCTCCAAGTCCTCCAGACTGCTCCAAGTTTCTTTTTTTTTTTTTTTTTTTAATACAGAAGTATAGCATTATTTGGAAGATGAGGGCATACATGTGTGAATAGGCTGCTGAAGACTTGATCAAAGCTTTTAATAATTTTATACAAAAGGAAAACATTATTGAAAAAAAGATTTTGGATTTACTCAAATTACCCACAGAACTGAAAACATCAACAAAGGCTAAAGTATTTGTTTGAAGATCATGATAGCTCTGATAGGTTATGGCTGGATAGTGGGTTTTAACTGTGCTGGTATTATAATGGCACTCTTTAGTAAACAGTAAACACTGAAACTGCAGAAGGCTGACATCAAATTTTGATTTGTACTCCATAACGAAAAATTTTAATAGAATTTTTATATTAAAAGCTGTAAAATAGGACAGTATAGACAAAAAGCACCGGTTTATGATCCATTTCTCAATTGTTCAAAATAATTTTCTTTCAAGTATTAATTCAGACAATATGCATTCTGAAATCACAGCTTAGGATCTTACAGTATGTGAAGCTTCTCAGTAAGAAAGAAAAGTACCTCAAATAGAAAACTTGTTTCATCAATCACAATGTATAAATACACGATAATTTACAAGGGGTCTATGAAAATTCATTTCTCAGGAGAAATTCTCATTGCATTTGGCAGAAGTTTAGGCAGGATAACGACCATTAAAATGAGATCTTACTGATTCACCATTGGAATTCATATTTTTAAGAAGTACCTTCATGATATTTCAGATAACATACTTGTATGTGAAATGTAATTTTCTCATTTTCTAATATTTTAAAATACAATTATTAGATTAAACCATAACATTTCACTCTGCAAAGAGCTACAACTGGTAGACTTTGAGGAAACACTCTATATGCAACAGGAGAACAATGTTATAAATTGAACATTTGGTAATCATTAGGTTTAATTTAAGCTAAAGTTCAAATTTCTTGCAAGCACAAAATTACCTGGTCACAATCTTGATCCAGGACCATCTTAAATAAAATAACAGTATTCTCTGACTATATCTCATGTTTCCTCTAAAGGAAATCTGTCCAAGTTCCCTAGTTTTTAACTGTGCATTTTTAAGTCAGAAAAAGGTTGGCTCACTCTGCGTGTCCAAAATAGCATAATTTCTACTACATAAAAGTTTCTTTCCCTGCTCAGTTTTCAGCCTGGAACACGCAAAGTCTGTAGAGCGGATTTTAATACTGAAAACTCAATAATCCATGAGATGATGCATTTCTACATTTTTAAGGACCTTCTGGATAACCCTTCTTATGGATGGGAAACATAAATATTTATTGTTTAGAGAAGAAAAACATGAGTAATAATGCATACAGTACTGGTAAAATGGTGGAAAAGAATAATATTACATCACCAGGATAGCAATATCTCAATGTCAGAACATGTTTCAGTGTTAGATCCTGCTCTGTACACTACATAAACTCTTTCCCAGCCTGCAGATTTCACTAATTGAAATAAAAAAGCAATAAAAAAAACTGATACAAACAGAGAGGAGCCCGAATTAGCCAATATGATGTCTCATGGGTGGCAGCTGCAATAGCCCTAGCCTGGTAAGAATTTGTATATATTTTTTTGGCAGTAGGGAAAACTACAGTTTCAAGGAGCAGTTACGAAGACAGATAAGAAGATAGCTTTTCTAATGATTATGTGAGGGGCAGAGATTTGTGTACTAGTGAATTTGTACAGAGAGAAAAAAATGCACTTGCTTCAACACAAGCATGAGGAGGCTGCCACTACTGACTGCAACAGGACCAAAACTGCAAAGTGATAAGTGACAGACTGGATGGTGACATGCTAAGAACCACTCTGAAAACAATAATAAAATATTGCCTTTGGTTAAAACGATGTCTGTGGAGAAACACAAGAGAAGAACCGATGCCATCATTATAAACACTCACATAGCTAAGTTAAAAAGAAAAAATTAGTCAGGAGGCAGATGCAGCCAAAAGTGATTTTGAGGGTTTTTTTCAGATTTGAAAGAAAAACAGAAATAAAGAAACAACAGAATCTGTGAGTAAAAGTGGTGCCAAAACGATCAGAAAAAATAATGGTTGGTCAAGAATGTGTTTGATGCAGTACTGAATAAACAACAGAAGAAAAAGGAAGACCTTTAGAAGAGGAAGAGGGATGATATGACATATTCTGCTTCTGTTTGTTTCCTTTTTTGAAATAAATGAGGCCTCCGCAATACAAAAAATGGGCGCCTATGTTTGTGTAGAAGGTCTAGAGAAGTTCAAAGGGACAAGATACTACTCTACTACAATATACTCCACACTAATACACTAACCAAATAAATTGGCTAACCAAATAAATTGGTTTAGCTGATGTAGCAAAGTCCATTTTTAAAACTATTTACATGTACGTCTTTTGAGTACAAACACCCTCTTAAAACATCTTCAAGCAGACTGACTGCTGTAGGTCAATATAATATGAAGCCGTAATGGGGAGTAAGGAAACGTTTCATGAAGGGAATTGCAGAATTGTTGCACTGTGAACCAAACAACTAGAATTGATCATAACAGTGACCAGTTTATAATTTATATTAAAAAATAAATCACACCTACCTTATCTGGGGTTGTCTTTCAGAAGTACTAAAATTTCATTTAGTTATACCTGAAACAAATGTATAAATGTTATCTTCAGCTTAAAAAACCAAAACGTGCATGTTAATAATTTCTGTTTCCCAGAAATGGTGTCAAAATAACTTTTAAAAAACAGTATTAAACGAACTCCAGACCCCATTTGACTATCAAGTTACTGTTTGATGTATTGAAGATTTTCCTACATCACAAACTAAAATCTCAGCCCCACACAGTATTTTAATAAATACTTCCAGAATTTCACAGAAACTAACAATACATGTTGACTAGATGTCCACAGAAGATTTGCATTCAATTATTACAGTTACTGCTACCACTACAGCCACAACATTGTTGCTAGTCTGGATAAAGAGCCCACTTTTTCAGTGGACCTTACTTCTTATATAATCCTACTGAATTTAGGACCTTGAAGACTGGGATATGACCAATTATTGGTCCAACATCTAATAAGCAATAAAACTGAACGTAAACATTGACATAATTTATTGCATAGTGCCAAAAAAGGTCTAAAAGAAGGCTAATGTTATTATTTCTGCACTTGGAAAGCACTGTCTTAAATATTAGTCTTAAGCATTTGTTTTAAAACATTCCTGTAAAATCACTCTTTTGATGGTAATTTAGACCTATGAGACCAACCACTCTGTCTAACAATTAGTTTCTCATTTTGAATGAGGAATAAGTGCACGTTTAACAAAAAGATAATTCTGCTAACTGAAAGTCTGAGTAGTAAGATTAGGATATTCTAGAACAATTTTCCCATACAATTCATGGATTTTAATAAAATGCCCTGCATCTTTGTCTACATGAGATTTTATTCCGCACTTACTAAGATTGCAAGCATTATCATTAAGCAAGAACAGAGGCATCTAATCAAACAGAGGAAAAAAAAGTTTTCCATCACATTTATATTAGTTTTCCCATTGTTGGTCTTGTTACAGTAGATATATTAGTTCTAGAGCAACAGTAGAGCAAACACATTGCTGAGAGTCTTAAATCCTTTTATGTTCAAACCTTCTTTGTGTTGTACTCTGAAATAAAGTGCCTCTATTTTTCCTACTTTTCTGAGATCCTTGAATTTAAAGAAAAAAAAATCCTGAAGGAGGCTTGCATCTGTCACACTGAAATCACTTTAAAACTAAAAGAAATTATACATTTTTAGGCTAAATCTGTCTCCCTAAAAAGAAGACACACAGATAGAGAATGAAAGAAAAAGAAACTATTTTATTCCTTGTTAATGCTTTGCTTAGGAAAACAGATATTAAAATTTTGTAGTAGCTAGCACAAAAGACTGTTTGGTAAGAAAAGCTGACCTCTGTAATAGCAAATAAACTAGGCACTCCCCTCATAGAAGCAAAAGTACTTCAATTAACCTTGTTACTGAGACAGAAAAATAGACAGAAAAAGACAGTGTCTACTGTCTAGAAAGTAAAGAATGAAGTGCAATATATGATTGTGCCTATTCAAGGAACAGGTATTTTACCTGCTTAGGATGCAGACACAGTAATACAAATACAAAAGTAGAAGCACTGACAGAAAGTGAATCACGCTGCTTGGGGTAAGGATTTTGAGTTCCAACTTCAGATACAACAAACACCATAATATATTATGTGAATATATGCATGAAAATTTGTAACAGAAGCCACTTGGCTAGATAGCTAAGTTTGAATTCTAGCTGTTTGCTAGAATTTTATAAAAAACACACATAACCTTTTCCAAGTATTAATACACAAAATTGGGTTTGAAATACTATACCCTTTGGCTGTTTCAAATAAATGGTCTTTCAATGAGTAAAGGGCTCATATCCAAATTTGCTTGATCAGTTTGATGACTCACCACATTTGACTTGCTAATCTGCCAGTTTATGAGTGTATCTACAAGTGCATGATATTTCACACCAGAGTCTGTCTCACCACTCACTGTACACAGCAGAGATGTAGTATTTTCTGATTCATATGCTAAAGTTAGGAAAATACTAATGTTAAAAAACGGAACCAAAAAAACCCACAGAAATCATGATGCAGAACATCACTAAGCAATAGCAAACACCCTTCAGCCCTATTTTTATTGCTTATTATTATGTTAGAGACCCACTGAGCAGCTACATTGGAGAGAAGAATCTCATTATGTTAGTCACTATGAAAACACAGCAAAATAATTTATTCAATAACTAACCACAAGGAGACTCAAACATGTAAAAAACATTGTAACAAACATTCATGTGTGTATACACACACGTAACACTAAAGACTTTATTTATAATACTTAGTCTTCTGTGTATGAGTTATGCTAATCATACAAAGCCAGATGGGGAGTATGAAAAAAGATGAACTTGCAGACAAGTTAACTAACAAGTCATGGAGCACGCAGTGCATCCTGATGTTCAGCCCAGGGTTACCTGGACCGTATTTCCTTTTACCACGGTTACTCCTTTGACAGGGATAGGAAGAACAAGGCAATGTGTTTTGTTCAAATGCCTTGCAAGAAGGTATTTCTCAGTTTGAGAGGATCTCAAGGAAAATGAAATACACATCCTCCATCTCTTTCCTCTTTTGTGCCCACTCTTGTTAGAATGTGAAAGACATGCAAAAGCCAAAGCTTTTAATTCTCATCAGCCTCTCTATTCTGAATAGCTCTATGAAAATTCCTTGAGGACATTTAAAAAAAAAAAACATTAAATGAGCCATAAAGAACTTCTCTGACTGCTACTTTGGTCTTTAATAGCTGATGTAATTAAAGCAACTTCTAAGGCTTTAATTTCTTAACATGCACGGAAATCAGTGCAAATCATAAAAATACCTTTTAATAGGTAGTTTAGTGTTTTGCTCTTGCAGGAACCTAACCATCTAATTTCAAGAGAAGAGCTTATAACATGATATGCGATCAGAAAAACCTGAGGAGATGATAACTTTTGCTTTGGCTTTAACTTTCACTTCAATGTTATCTAAAAAATCTCTGAAAACCCTCCCAAGTTTGATCAGACTGGTAGGACCACTGGTATGAATCAAGATTTCATATCAGCAGAAAACTTCAATGTATCTCTTTGAACAAAATGGAAGCAAAGGATGTGGCTTTTTGAATGACAGCTTACTGATCTTTTCAGGAGAAAGGTCAAATTACCTTTATTTTTTCTAAATACTCCTAGTAAGCTGTCCTTTAAATCACTGTACACTGGAATGGACAATCCCAACCCCATTAATTAAACCCTTTTGCAGAGCAAACAACTAAGTTCTCTCACTCACAGAGGCTCCACGTACAGCAAGAGAAGTTGACACAAACATACTCCAGCATCATACAGGAAAACTTGTACAGGTCTCAGCAGATCATGTTCTAGCTGATGTTTTCTACAATGACCCATTAGCCCAAGGTCTCAGAAGAAATCTGAATCTTAGATAAATTGGGAAGAGCAAGCCTACAAAACACTAAGATCTCCAAAGTTCTTCACAGACAGCCCATTGGGCAAATGATAGTTTTCTTGATGGAATAATAATTTTCAAGGAATTTCCTACGCTTTCCAGTTCACTGTCTAAAGAAGCATATATAGCAGATGTCAGATGATATTATTCCAAAGACTTACAAAACTATCTAATCACCACTGAAAGAAGAAATATCCTCTCAAAACATCAAACCTATCAAATACAACTGGTCTGAGCCACACAAAAAAAAAAAAGTTCAGCTCTGCGATAACAGAACTTGCAAATTATAAGGTAGCTGACTGCAATGTAGTCCAAATTACTGACTCCAGACAGCAAGCAACACTACTGAACGGGGTTTTTATTTCACAGTGTTCCTTGTTATCCTCGAAAGTAGTTAAATGTGGAGATAAGTGATGATCTAAACTCAGAGCCCAATCATTTGCTACATACAACATACATAGTTCCTATTTTGAGAGCATCCTAGTTCTAGAAATCCCCAATTTTTCAACTGGATATGAGCATCACCTGCACAAAAGTCAAGTCCTGGCACTTTGTAAACAAGTAATATTTCTAAAAGCTCAAAGAAAGATATAGGAGTTACTCTACAGTTACATCACTAGAATATTCTTCAGGCAGATCTGTGGTGTCTTCATTACATGGTAAGTCTGAATACTATTGGATTGCAGAAATTCGGGAAAGGAATCCTGAATATCAATGTCTTTGCTTATTGGTCACAAGTTAGATCAGAGGTTACTCCAAACATTGAAAACATAAACTAAATTATGAGGTAAGAGAAAAACTTCTAAGCAAGGTACAGCAGCAAAACAGGACTGGGCATTGAGACTTCTTAGCCTCATGAAAAGCAAGTGACTGAGCAATTGTGAAACAAATCTATTGCACGCTTCATTTTTATTGTGAGGAAGGTCAGAGAATTTCTAAGAGGATGTTTTACAACATTTAACACAGAAGTGTCTTTCAATGTATTTAGGATGCTGTCCCAATTGCAATGTAAATGAACAAGATTAAGGGAAATAAAACCTTTTTTCCGAAAGAAACCATGCCAAAACATGGAGTAAATTTTTAAACTCTCACTCAACTGATGTACCACCTCTACTGGACTTCTAGGCATTCAGACACACCAGGTATTTTCCTGCTATTTGTTTTTACCAGCAGAAATGAACATACAGTTACACTGAAAACCAAAAGCAAGTAAAAACCCCTAAATGTGTCTAAGTTAAGGTAAAGTTGAGAACCTTGTAATTTTAAAATAAGAAAAAACTGCAGCTAGTAAACTATTATCATCCCATCACTCTTCATTGCTTTTTGACTCAGTATGGTCCTACCCTCTGTCAATCTTTATCTCTTCAAATTAATAGGACTTCAGGTGGAAAAAAAAATGCATCTGTCACTATTGCCTCTATGCTTCTGACATACACAGAACTTCTGTAGGATTAATCACTTCAAGTACCAGGAACAACTCTTCCAGAATCTATACACCCTTCATTTGGCCATCTTGGGAGTAGTTAAAGGAGTTGGACTTGTAGAAATACATTGTCTAGACTAAGAAGAATAATCCTTTTCTTCAAGATTAATTGAAAAGCAGAGTATGTAAAATTATTGAAAATATGACAATAGTGGACTATAAAAAAAGCTTAGCCCTATTACACTGTCAAATGAATACCAGCTTCGGTGCCAGTGAACAACTCAGCATATCACACCTTCTTACAAGATACCGCCCTAGTTTTAAAATTAGATTGTTATTTTTCTACAGTTGCAGATCATGTTTACTCTGAGAATGATGTGATGACAGCATGATTAGACAAATCCTTTCAAGATCTTCATCAATATACCCATAACTAAAACTCACATCTTCATGTTAGCAGTTTCCAAGTTAGCCAGATGAAAGCTGGTCACATTTTCCCCTGCAATGCTGACATGGTTGAAAAAACCACAGCTGATAATTCAAATTCTGTTAGCCATTTAGTAGCAATGAATGGAGCGCAATCCAAGTAATAGCCAATTATCCTGAATTTATAATTATTTTTTTGAAGGTATCTTTTCTTTATCCTTGAAAAAAAGAAACATTTGCCAGCATTAATTACAACTGATATACAACACTGATTTCAACATTAAGTAGAAACTAGAGGTGATTTAACAACATAAGACTACACAGTTATTTTTCTGAAAAAGCAATCCTGAAGTATCTATATAATAATTAAGCTCTATGGTGAGAGAAAAATGAATAATGATTTCTAGAAATGCTGGTTAAAGTCACTGGGATTGACAGAAACTGACTGGATCTTTCCACTTAAAATATTTAATAAAAATATGGAAACCTGGTACCATAATATTCAAATATTAGAAAAAATGGATGTTTTGTTAATGTCCAGATCTCAACCAAGCAAAAGAGACTACAAGGAAATCATTACCAGTAATGCTTTGGGTGTGGAAAGGTACAAACTACAAACATTCAAATGTCTGTGTACAATGCTGAACTAGCCCACAATGAATTACATTTCTTTGAGACACATAATGTGTTATTCTGTAGTATAAACACAAAATAGAATGTTTTTCTCTGCAAGCTGCTTTTCTTCAAGGGATTCCTTTCATGCAGGCCCCCTACCGCATTTAAGACTAGGCTTCCCTGTATCCTCTAGCCTTCTCCTGTTACTCTCTTAGCACAATAAAGCAGTAAAGTACTTTTTTTAATTTTTATTTTTCAAAGAAAACTGTGATAATAATCTCAGGGCTGGCCTGCCGCAGGTCCTCCAGCCTTTAGAATAGCAGGCTATCCAGTTACAATTAGCAAATCATATTAATGGATTTTAGGTAGAATTATCAAATCATTTATTTGCCCTGAGCTAATGGCTAGACATTTCAATTAAAAGCAGTCATATTTCTGCGGTACCTGAGTCAAAATCTGAAGGAAACTCAGCTAGCAAATAGGATTACAAACAGATAAAGAAATGTTATTCAATCCTTTTCGAAGCCTGGGACCTTGTACCAATAACGTTTGTTAATCTTCACACAACTACATTCCCTTTACTAAACAGTACACTTTAAATCATGCACAAATTTTCTTTCAAAACTAAATGGGATGAATGGAAATCTTAAATTTTGCTCAACTCTAATATCTATCTCTTTTTTCTAGTATAAAATGCTCTTTGATTTTCTCTAATCAGAATCCGTTCCCCTTTAATAGGTATATCATGGTAGCTCACAGTTTAGCAAGTCACTCAAAGCACTTAGAGCTAGTTTTTTTGTTTTTTTTCTTTTAAATTTTCATCTTTGGAATATAATCCCAAAAAACTGTTACTTAAGATAACACCCAACACAGCTGATGCTTTCCTACTTGCTTACCATAAATAACTATAAGCAGAATTAATGCTGTGTTTTATCACATAATCCTGTCTTAATCATTAAGCCTTCCTTCAATTCCATTCAGCCAATTCATCTAGACAGCTAAAGCTTGCCTCTTTCAACTTTATTTTTCACACTCTTCCATCTGTTTCTCATCAATACTAGTCATCTTAGGGCTTCAAATTTAAAACCACCTTCATTGTCAAGTTGCCCGATAATACTCCAGCCTTCACAGACGTTACTGCAAAATACAGAGAAAAGCCACACAAAGACTGTGAGATGCAAAATGTATTAAACTGGAAATGGCTGCCACAGAGGCACAGTTATTTTCTTCACTTAGGCAGCACAACAGAGCAACAGATAACGAACTTGCAACAAATAATGAAATACCCTAATATTCTGGAATAAACAACTGCTTTGCTGTTAAAAATTAGTGCACACTTAATTCTTTAAGCATATTACCAATAGCAGATCCTTTCAAATTACTTGAACTGGAGCTGCTTGAATTGTTCAATATGTCCAGCTCATGATCTAATTCAGAGAATATATCTGCACATAAAAATGAAAACAAGCTTTTAACCCACCTCTGACCAGTATAACAGCCCCCTGATGCTTCTTTTGCTAATGCCTACCTTTCTCTATAGTCCTGTGGTCCTCTACCAGAATTTCTTCACATGTTCCTTCCTCATATTTTCCACATGCAGACTGACAACTGTCAACTGGAAGCTCAGTATTTTCTGAAAATTCACTTTTGCAACTGGCTGCTCCATTGCTGCTACTATGAAGACTCAACTTCTCATAATTTTTCTGACAACAAAGAACAAAAAGGAAATGTTATATACTGTCCTTTTCCTGCACTCATTAGAAATTCTGAAAATGAAAGTGTCACTTGTGTATACATGCATAAAAACATACTTTTTGTTCCCACTTAGCTGCTAGTACCTGGTTCAGTCACTGACTCTAAATTTAGATCAAAACTTTCAAACCTAAACAAATTATTTCTAGTCTTTACACAAAAGATATCTTTGTTCTTCACAACAATCTTTTCACAGAAAGCACTGAAAGTGAAAAAAAATGAAACAAACACCAGACCAAAAGCAAATACTGAACTAAAACAGAACACCAGACAAAGACAATAGGTCTTCTCAGGTACAAGCACTGGTAGATTTACTCTCTTCCAGTTTAGATAATAAACAGCAGTCCAGTTCTGGACAATGCAAAACCTTCATAACAGCCAAGATGGTAGTAAAATACGAAATCAACTTGACATGATGCCATGTCAGAGAGACCCCCGAGGCTGAACTGACCAAATGCAGAGCAAAGAAAATAAAACATCCAATATAAATTATTGGTCTGTAACATTTAACTGCTGCATCTTGTTTGTAGTACAAGGTTCTTTAATAAGTTTAAAATTCTGCCTCTGCTGCTGTCAGTGTTTATAGTTTTACTGGAAAGAATAGAAATCCCTGATCCCTGTTATTGCTTCTATTTTAATGCAATATATTTTGAAGAAAGATGTTTTATGATCTCTGTATATATTGTTCCAAGCCTTCACATATTAGTTCTGTTGTGTGTAAATAAATTCATGTTTCTTTTTACTCTATCTTGGCAGAGCAAAGTGTGATAAAGCAGGACAGGAGATAAATCATACAAATATATCAGACTAAACAAATTAGTATCTTTAATATTAATTTCAGGAGATAATACATTCCTAAATACTTATATTCTTACCAAGTCTGCCTAAGACAATTTGTACTTTATCTAAGTCAACTTCTTTCAAAGTTTTTCCCAAGAAATATTTTGACCTTATTAGGAAAGAGCAGAGTGGGTGCACTAGAAAACCTTTCTCCTCAGAAACCTAACTGCACCCCTGAGCACTGACTATACACTGTCTGTGTAATAGGTCTGCTTCAATTACTTCCCCATCTTTGGTTCTGTTCCCAAATCTATAACTTAACTTGTAGGAGATGGCTTGTCAAGCCTTTCTCTTTAAATTCAGGTGGGAAAAGATCATTTTATACTTAAGTACTGGACTGAGCTTACGTCCAAGATGCCACAATAGCAGTGACTGGAGTGTAGCACGGCATGACAACCACTAATGATGACTCTCTATCTTACTGGAAGACAGCAGTCTAGTCCTGGAATATGAGCACACATTGTACCCTGAACAGTCTGAGCACAGTTACTGAAAAGAACCAACTCACCTGTTCTACATCAAAGAAAACAAAGTCAAGACAAAGAAGTCTCAAACTGCATGGACATTTCAAACTTAAATCTCCTTTCAACATTTTCAATACTGAACCTCATACTCAAAAGACTGTTAACAATAACTTCTAAATCAGGTGGAGCTGAAGAAAAAAAATAACGAAAAGACAGCTGTTACCAACTGGTTTCAGATCTAGCAGCCCACCAAAATGGGAAACCTGTTTGAAATGTGTGAACTGAATTCCACAGACCTCACGATAAAAATAATTGTCAGACCTGCTATAGAAACTGTTCAGAGATCAGTGAAACATATTCTAAAGCCATAAAGCAGCTATATAAACTGTAAAGCTATAACCTGTGTATACATAAAATCTGGCCCACTTACATAACAGCTGAACATAGGAAACTATAGTATTCATTAGTAATCTGAGAGTAAGAAATGAATTTGCTGTGATATATTTTGTTCCACCTAGACAACACCTAATAATTTTCAAAAATGAGATTATATACCACTTTTTCTTTTTTTGAGTAGGACAACTGGATGATTTAGAAGGACAAAAGTACCCTGACTAGAGAAGGTTGGGATGCAAGTTCAATGCTTTTGCTCACCACTGAAGGGGGAACATAATGATCTACATATGGACATAATTTTATGAGAAGAGGATGGAGAAACTTTTCTCCAACACATTGAAACAATCATTTTCATATGCCTTGAAGTCTCAGAGATACTTCTTTCAGATAAACAGAAAGACAGATCTTTTGAAGAAATCTATGGAACAGTGGCATATTCAAAACATCACAAACATTCAAACAGGAGTTAGGTTGATATATATTCACTTGAACTGTGCTCATACCTACACTTGATTGTAGTGTTCCAGAATTTTACAAATCCTTGGGGAGGTTCCATCAGTTGATCCTGTTTATTTTCACATTTTCATAATAAACTAGTGCCTCAGTTTCCCCATACATCAGACTGATCACCACCTTTGTTGAAAAAAACTCCGCCTTCTCTTATAGACAAAACACAATTGAAAACAAAAGCGAAGGGGAAAAAAGTCACTCTGCAAAAAAATGTTCAAATAATGAACCAATTAATTTTTTTCCAGCACTCATCTATCTTTATTACTGAGCAAAAGCATCTCCGGAAACTTGTGTTCCAGATAGAAAATATTCTATCTGCATCCATATCCTGTACACTTGTCTCTTCATTGGTCATCATTACTATTGTAAAATCAAGTTATATTTAACTTTTGGACAAGTGAAGCCTAAATTGCTCTTTCTGACTTCCAGCAGAAATCTAACAAATCTAAAAAAAACCAAGTAGGTTTAACTAAAATAAAGTTATCTATATTTTGTTTAGCTCTGTTTTGTCATATTACTGTCCAGAAGAAATAACTTTTCTGTCTTCAAGAAATACAGAGCTCTCTAGTGGCATTTGCAAACAGTGTTTAATTAATCTTCTTTATTTGAGACATTTACAATTACAGCATTATGCTAGTCAATTGAATTTCTATTTCAAGAAAAAAAACCAGAACTATTTCCACTATTAAACTATTTGTAAAAACCTACAAGTTAGCAATAAAATGATTAGTAGCTGACATGAAACTGTCAGGGGAAAAAACATCCTAAACCAATGTATTTTTTTCAGTAAGAGCTCTTCGTTTTTCAAGAGCTCTTATGCATTAGGAACAAGAAGCAGATGTTATATATAAGGGTTTTAGCAAGCCTTTTGACAAGGTTTTTCATGACAACTTACAAGAAAGCTAGGGAAGTGTGACCTAGATAAAATCATGATCAGTTGGCTGTATAATTGACCATAAAAACTGTACTCGACTTGGTAACTGCTTCGAGTGTTTGTTATACTAAAAATGGGCAGCAAGCACAATCTTTCAGGATTCTTTCTGACCTTGTTCCAAAACCACTCAATGGTGTCACTGAATTACAATGATAATCTGCATAATGGATGGACAGAGCGCCTGTTAAAGGTGCCTAGACTGCGATACATTCACATCATATATCATACTGCAGCACATACATCATACACAGAGTTGTGACAATGACACTGACAACGGGTGTCAAAGAAAGTTTTGAGAAACTGGAGAAACTAAAAGAACTCATGAAGTTTAAACAGAGAGAAACCAAAGTTCTATGAGCAAGGGGAAACAACTGTACAAATGCAGAGACTGGGGAAGGACTGGTCGGACAGAAGCTCTGCAGGAAAAGATATGGGGATTTTGATGGATCAGAAGCAGAATACGACTCAACAATACCACGCTGTTATGAAAAAAGTGAACATCATACTGGGATGTATAAAGAGGAAAATGATTCTGAAGAATTGTGCCTTCTTTTTACTTGATACCAATAAGATTCTCAGAGTAATTAGGTACAATTTTGAACACTACACTTAAAATTATGTCAATCTCACTTTTTAAGTTGTGTTTTGCAGACCTCTGATTCTTCTCATTTCTTTCTTTTCCTGTCTCTCCACATGTTTTATTATTCAGTCCACACCAAAAAAAAAAAAAAAAAAAAACAAAAATCACAGAGAGGGGAACCAACATATAAGAGAAAAGACATAACTTTTATAAATGTCCACTGTCAGGAGGACAATTTCAGTAATCAAGTGTTCAACTATTGCATCTATTTGGGATCCTACAGAAAGAAATAGTGTTCATACACAATGTAACTGGTTTCAATGCACTCAGCAAACGCAGTGTTCTCGGGATATTCTGGACTTAGTGCTTTTATGGCAGTGCTTTTATGGCACTTGAGATGGGGTCCGAAAATTTCAAGTATCATATACATCCCATACATGCATATGCATATATCCATCTAGTATCTCCTGGAAACAAGTCATGCATATCATATCTACCCTGTCAAGCATACAAAGTAAGACCAAAATTTTCTGCAAGCACTGGACTAACTTTAGATACTGTATACAGCACAGTTATATGTGCTATGGGTATGCCCAGGATGCTTCAGGCATCCTCATCATTTCCGAGATGTTATCTTCAAATGCAAAGAAGGACTCAATCAGATGTCACTGCTGACTGTAAAGACAGTTTGTGCATCTCTGCTGTTTCTAAACTGTTTCTATCATGTGACTTTTTTATGACTCACTGGTCAAATACCTGTCAGGAGTGACAGGTAGCTCTAAAGCTTGGAGAGGGACAAGATAATCTCTGACAACTCTTCCTGCCTTATACCCTGTAATTCTATTAAAGTATTTTGATGTATTAACAAATTGAAGCCAAATTAAGCATGCTATAGGTTTGTCCTTAAGAGTATGATCATTCATTTTCACAGGTAGTAATTTGGCTGTGATGACTATTTTCTACATTCAGCAACACTGGAAAAAATATACCTGCAAAACAGTTTTTATATCATTACTTTATTCTCCAAACATACACAGTATAAATCTAAAAAGGTTACTTTCTTTTTATCATGCCAACATTTCTAACATTTAAACTTTAAATCTAGTACCTGCTACATAAATGTCAAAACAGAATGGTGTCAGTGGAGTGAAAGGTGGAAGAAGAAAAGAATTTGTGGAATGTTAAGTCTTCATGACATTTTCGAGTCCTCACTCATTCCAAAGGGAATTGTATGCAGCAGTGCACAGTCATTATCACCCAATTTTTAAATAAAATTTTAATACATTTTAATAATAAATTTAAAAAAAATTTAATATTCTAATCTAACATAAATATGGGACTCTGGTTTTGCAATATTAATAACCTGTTGCCTTCTAAGTGTTCTAAAACCAAGAACAGTCATTGCTTCAACCAACACAAAAGCAGTTGCTGCACACATTCACGCTTGTTTTAAGAAAAAAAAAAATCTTTTATGCACCAGAAGGCTGAATTGCAGAAAATCTATTTCTAAACACAAAGAAAAAGGAAATTAAAATGAGCATTAATCCAATCTTTATGTCTTTTTCTGAGTTAACAAAAAAACTTGATTAATTCAAATTGAATTGCTAATTAAGTACTACTTTGTAATGCATGTGGTGATGCTCAGAAACTAACACGATTATTAGCACAACAATTGCCAACAGAGCAGAACTGAATTTGGGTATGGGGGGAAATGACTTGGTGAAAAAGCAGTTAAATCATTTTGTGTTTCTTTGTCTTTCAGATAGCTGCAATCCTGTCCTCTTTCTCGTGAGGAAATCGATGGCTGCTGTGAATTAAAAGAGTTGCCAATAGCCTGCAGGGTGGTTACAAAAGTACAGATTCTTAAATCGTGATCTTTAACCCTTCCCCCTTTGGTCACAGAACCCTGTGGATGAAGAAAAAGATAAATCCATTCCTATGGATGAAGAAGAGTGGTAACAGCAGCATGCTCTCTATTTTCAGGTATTACTACAAAACGCTTCGCATTTACTTACATTACATTATTTGTGATAGAAGGGGCATAGAAAGAAACCCCAGCATTTCTCAAGGCTCATTCATGTTTCTAAACCAATCCAGAAAAGACACAATACAATCAACTCATAATCAACTAGAAGTAGATTATTAAGGTTTATGTCACAGACAGAAGCCAGGAAACCCCCACCAGCCATTTCAGGTCTGGCAAAGCTCTTTAGTTTAGATTTAGTCATTTAGATATAGTCCTGTTTGAAAACAGCTATGCTGCTTCTTTCACTAACTCTGACTGGTAAGTAAGTTGAACAGATTCTGCAGCAGGGAGGCAGGCAGGCTGTAGCCAGGCTGCCTGCAAACAGAATAATCAGTGTGTTTTCCAGCAGCAGCATCCTAGTCCATGAGGAGCACAGCACCTTGATACCTACAGATGTAGCCTGGGAGGGCCAGTGCTGACCTGTAGCTAAAAATGCAATCTAGATGGAAGATGGCTCACCGTGGTCTGTAAGCCATGCCCGCCAGCATGCTGGGTTAGGGGAAGACTTACCCATTCAAGTGGGAAAACAAAAAAAATGCAGAGAGCAGCCTGGCTAATAAGTGTTCTCGTGCACGTAACATTAGGACAAAGCACTCAGCTAAGGGCTACCTAATGGACCAGGTCAGACCAAGCACTGTTAATGACTTTTGACACTCTTAGCCCTGACTAACCTGGAATGTGAAGCCACTCCATAGATCAGATTATATTCAGAAAAAAAAGTTGGACTTACTTTTCCCATTACCTAAGCATCTTAGTTTCCCATTACTCTGCGTAACTGGGAACTTGATCTGAATATGTGGATTTGCATATATTAATTTAAAAATGAAATTAATATTGAGTGACATTATTAATACAAAAATTAAAATAGGCTTAAATTCCCAAAGAACACAGTATTACCTGGCATAGAAAAAAAAACATGTAACAGAATATGTGTGCCACATGCATGAATCAGAACATAGAAACTAAGAAAAGGAAGTTGCTCTGATCGGACAGGTAGTCTATCATGTCTGCCCATTTTTAATATATTCTCTGAGAGTAGCAGAAGGTACAAATGGCTCATACTCTGTTATATATTTTTAGCTGACAGACTCCAATTATAAAACTTAGATTTTTCTCTACCACATTCAAAAGACAGGACAGATCTGAATATTCATCGTTCTATATTGTTTTAGGTATATTTATATTTTACATTAAAAATGTGGCATTGGGAAAACGGTTAAAAACACTTCAGGATATATGCAGTAGATGAAACAATCATGGATGATACCCATGTCAGGAAACACATATTTCCAAAGTAATAAAAAGTTAGTTATTTCACCTTATTCTAAACAGACCAAACAAATTTTTCTAATCTATATACTTCAATAAAGAAATCAAATTACTATTTGGCTACACACTAATTTCTTTAAGGGAAAACACTGGAAAGATAATTTAGTTAGTTAGATCAACTACTGTTTTGAGATTATTTTCAAGCATGGATTTTATGCTATACTTATCACACAAGATAACTATACTTTAACATCATCAATCGACCTGCCTTTCAATTGCCTACTTACTTATTTCCAAACTAGTCTTACAATACTTATAAAACAGATTCCACTCTGGCTCCAAAAGATCTCTGTTGCTTAGCTCCATAAAGCAGGACAGAGAGTACAGTCCTTATTTCAGGAACATTTACAATATGACACAACTGGGATGAAAAAGGAGGCCATAAGTACATTTTAGTAGAGAAAACAAAGTATAAGATAGTTGGCTTCAACAAAGCAGTGAACTACATGGCAGAAACACCAAATTCTCTGACACCATGGAAAAATGACAAATTACTTGGCTGTGGAATAGCTGGGGCCTTGACTAAGATGAATTAGGCTGTCTATACCTCACAGAGTTTTTATTTCAAGAGCAGCTGCTCCTAGCACTTTTAGTCAGAATATTGCCTATTTTTTTCAAAAGACAAACTTTTCAGGAAAAATTATTCCCTTTGATAGAAATTCTCCAATTTAATAAATTTTCCAAAGTACTAGGAAGAAATAAACAACATGACTCCTGTTCCTAAGCTCTGCAACACTCCCCTGAAATTTGAAAGATCCTAGCCTGTTTATTCTTTCTTATTTATAGCAAGGACACACAATTAGGTCTCCCACTTGTCAGTATTAAGCTATATTCCCCTCAGGTTCTTCAGTGTTCTGGATCCTTGTCAGAACCTCATGTTCCTTTAATACACATAATAAAATACCTACTGGAGTGGAACTAGAACTACAGTATTTCTTCCTCGGGAAGATTAGCCATTATCCCCTAAAAGACAGAGTCATTTTTCTTCTCAGTTCGTAGATAGGTGTATTTTCCAAGTATTTATACAAAACAGAAGTACTCTAACCTTCTGTGAAAAACTATCAGTTCTATCATATCTTAAAAATGTCTGGATAAGGGACTCTTCTCTAAAGACAAAATAATTGCATGTAAATCCCAAATCTAGCATCTTTCAACCCATAGCACATTTTTTTTGCAAGATTTATGCAAGAGAATCACTATATCAAGATATGAAAAAGATAATGAAATACAACAAGCTTCCAAATGTGTAGGGTAAGAAAATTTGAAAAAAAAGAAAAAAAGAAAAAAAGAAAAAAACTTCTTCTACTGTTTCAAATTAAAAATCCTATTCTGTATCTTTCTTGCATCCCAATACCTCTTACATTACAAAAGAAAGTAGTTTGTTAAAGTTGTCTGGAAATTTTTGGCATTCTTTTCCTTGAAAAAAAAAAAGAAGAGTATAATAAAAATAACAAATCTTACACTGAGAGGTCAAAAAACTACTGAAAAACAAATATTAATAATTTCTACAAGTGCTATGTTTGGCCAGGAACGTAAAGATCATGGAGTTTGGGACCAAATTGTGTTCTTAAAAACATTTCTCCTATACAGAATTTCTTCAGTGCAAACTACTAAACTCTAATAAAAGGAATCTAAAAGATTCAACTTCTGAACAGACAAGAGTGGCTGTGTAAATTATAACTTTGCTTTGCAATTACCATAACAATAATTTTCACAGTGTGCTTTTGCTACACAGAAACATTATCCTTCTATTTTCTAAATAAATTCTCTGAGATCATATACTGAATCTCATTTACACATATATCTCTGAAGTTTGATTCATTATGTAAAACACTGATGTCCTTCATGAAGGGTGCTTAAAGCACAGTCTGAAGCAAATGGAAGCACTGCAAGAAGTATTTCTGCAGAAGTGTATCAGGCAGTTAGAAAACATGAACAAATACCTTATCAGCATCACGGGTTTGTATTTAGCAATCTGTAATTAAAAATTACCTTTGTCTAGGTTCCATTTTCTAGGTGTCATTGTTTATGAATCATACACGAGATTATCAAATTGTTCCACCCTAACCAAGTGTATACTCTCCTATTCACAAATCATTCAAAAGTGTGCAGTAATAATTAAACATTCTCAGATACAATCAAAACTGCAAGAACCTCCATAACAATGCCATTTTCCAACGTGGAATGATACCGGTTTTAAGATACTGTCATTCTCCCTGCAGAAGCATGTGCAAAAAAAATTAATGAATACCTTGATAAAAATAAATTAAAGAGCCTGCACAGAAAAATGTTACAAGAGGTTGAGTCTTTTCATTTTGATTTATTTTCTGCTTTGTTATTTTCTCAGATATGGCAAACAATCATAAGAAAAAATAAAGTCTAATACATGTACTTACTTGTGATAAAATGGAAAGCTGGTGGTGATAGGTTACTGCATTTCGATCAGCCTCCATGAAGTACTGCTGGGTTCGTCTCCTCTCCTGATCCAGTTTCTTCTCCAACGTGAGATGAGAGGAGGTGGGTAGAACATCATAACATCAGACAGCAGTGAGCTGACCTCCACTATGTCTGGACGTGCCTCTGCATCAGGAGTCAAACAGCTACAGAAAGAATATTCTCTATTTCTCCACTGGTGTTTATGGAGTCATGCTGGCCAGCACTCTGCTCATTCGGCATGGGACAGTTTGATGCTGTGCAGCCTTGTTGCTGAAACACCACTGCACCGTCCCTGGCATCAGCTGGAACAATTATCCTTGACACCAATCCAGACATAACTGCAACTAGGAGCTGCAGCTGTGCACCCCCAGACACACCAGGGAGTGCCCAGGGCCTATTCCTGGGACTGGGGGTGATATTGCCTCCTTTGTGGCGACTGTGCTCTGATCAAGGTGTTGCACTACTTGTTGTGTGTTGTCAGGAAGACTTACAGGAGAATGCCATGACCTTCACAGAGACTTTGCAGAGACAACACTCCCAAAACAATGCGAAGAAGGAGGAAAATCTAAGCTTACCCTCAAAGAAGCAATGGATGGAGGCTCCCAAGAGGAGCTAGGTTGGAGACCTGTGACTTCTGCCAAGAGAAGGAAGGCTTTTCCTCTGACTACAGATATATAATTACAGAACAGGTATAGTAATCTACCAACAGGTGAGGAAGAGTAAGACCTAATGGAGGAAACCAGAGCCAGGTAAGTCTGAATCAAGAGTTCACATCACAAATAAGGTGCAATAGCTGACAGTCATTTGAGGCTGAGGAACCGAAGCATCCATCTACTTGATCTGATTTGATGTCTGTTGCTTGGATTCAGGACACTGTGGAGACACTACCGAATCATCCTAACCCTTGGGCTATTACTTCTTGCTGTCCATTCATATGGGTACAAATAACACCATCAGGGTCAACTCTGAACACACTGAAAGTGACTGAAGTGCACTGGGATCAAGCGTGAAGGGCACTGGACAGAGTTGGTGTTCTCCTTAATTCTATCAGTGAGGAGAAAAGGCTCAGGTCAGAGTAGGTGCAACCTGCAGTCCAACACCTGACTGTGTATAGTCAAAAGCTTATGCGTGAGGATCAGAGGAACAGACCAACACAGGTGATATTGTGGTAGACACCTGCTGTGAACCACACAAAACCAAAGAGGAAGTCAATGAAGCCTTTGTGGGACAGATGGAGGAAGCTTTGTGATCTTAGACACTCATACTCATTGGGGCCTGTTAACCACCCTAATATCTGCAGATGGGATAATATGGTTGACTGCAGCCATTAGGAGACTTCTGGAATCTGCTGACAACAATTTCTCGGTGAAGCTGATTCAGAAGCTAACTAGCAAAGGCACTCTGCCAGATCTGTTGCTCATAGACAAGGAAGAACCAGACTAGGATGTGAAGATCAAGGACAGCCTTAACTACAGCAACCATCAGACTGTGGAGTTCAAAATCCCAAGTGAAGTGAGAGAGATTGTATTGTTACAACACAGGACCTCAGGAGAGCAGAATTCAGCCTGTTCAGGGATCTTCGTGGTAGAATCTCATAGGAGACTGCCCTGGAAAGTAAAGGGAAAGTTTGGGAGAGCAAGCTAATCTCCAGGGACATCTCAAAGCACTATAACAGTCCTCCATGTAGGAAACAGAGGTGGGCTACACAGGAAGAATACAGATATTGCCCAAAGGCTAGAGTTAGGAAAGCCAAAACTCAGCTGAAGTTGAAATTACCAACGGATGTGGAAGGTAGAAGAAAAGCCAACAAAAGAAAGGCTAAGGAAAATGTGGACCCACTACACAACCTAGTGACAAAAGATATGGAAAAGTGTTATTTCCTTCCCTTTCCATTGAGAAACTTCGGCCATAAGTGTTCCAGATCTCTGAGCTTACCTGTAGAATCCATGAGCATGAAGCATTTCCATGCAGCAGAAAACACAGTGAGAAAGCATTTAAGCCAGTTGGACAGACACAAGCCCACAGGACAAGATGAGAAGAGTTTGAGGGTGCTGATGCAATTGGTCATTATCACTATCCATCATGTCTAAAAGGATCAAAAGGAGTTTTCTGCAGGTAGAAGTTGAATATCACACACATATTCAAGAATAACAAGAGGGAAGATCCAGGACACTGATAGCCAGTTAGCTTCAACCTCATCTGTGGAATATAATAGAGCAATTTCCTCTGGAAAATTTTCAAGCACAAAAAGGGCAAGAAGGTGACTGGAAACAGCAAGGATGGATTAACCAAACAGCTGTTATACCTGACTAAGCTATTGTCTACAATGAGATTACTGGCTCTGTGGAAAAGGAGACAGGAGTAGATGCTGTGGGTAGCTTTATTTTAGCAAGGCTTTTGACACAATATTCCACAGTATCCACAGGACTATAAGGTAGATAATTAGCTGAACCTCCTCGCTGAAAGACATGCCATCAGATTTCAATTGGTGGCTGGCAGCAGCATCGTCCAAGGATTGATATTTGGTCAGTACTATTTAACATCTTTCTTAACAACCTAGATGATGGGATGGAGTGCATTCTCAGAAGGTTTGTAAACATTGAATTGCAGGCATCAGTTGATACATGGGGTAGGGCTGTTGTCAGAGGGACATGGGACATCCATAAAAAGGTCTAATTGCTACTTGCATAATGGGAGGGCATGGAAAAGATGGACCCAGATCCTTCTCAGAGGTGCACAGCGGTGGAGCAAGGGGCAATATACATAACCTGGAACATAGGGAAGTCTGGTTAGATATAATTATTACTACTACTACTATTTTTAATCACAAAGGAAGATAAGCACCAAAGAGGGTTCAGAGAAGTTGTGGGATCTCCAGCCCTCAATACTCAAAACTCAGACAACACCCTGAGCAGTGAGCAACCACATCTAATTGTATCTGCATTAAGCAAATGGACTAGACAACCTCCAGGGGTCCCTTCCAGTCTAAATTACTTTACAGTTCTATAGTTCTTGTTTCAGGCACCCTAGGTAGCAGTTTAGTAACTGTAATAATATACTATTAGGTCTATTTTTAAATCCCCAGAATATTTTGTATGCAGTGTAGGACAGAAAAGCTGATAGGGACAGTTCTGCATGCACTATAAACTCTTAAATCTTAACTCCACTGAACCTGGTAATTTACTACGATTTCCCTGCAGAGTACTAATGACCTGCTAGCACACATAACCCAACACTCTTCTTTAAAAAAAAGCCACAGAATGGTTTGTTATTTATATACAGTTCAAAGTAAAACACAACTGCCATGTAAAGTAGCAGTTCCGAAAATATCTTGAACCTCTTGATTTTAATCTTTTTTGTTTAAATTTTCTCAAATACATTAATTTAAATAATTCTCATAACTTTTAAAATCTGTTTTACTTGAAATATTATATTGCTTTTAAAGAGCTGCAAGTTTTTCACCCTTGAGAAATATTCTTGTTTGGGGTTTTTTAATTTATTTTTTTTTGTCCACTGAAATTGGTCAAAATTTCCAAGAACAATGCGAGCTATAAAAGATTTCTGATGAGTTCTATTTCCATTTTCCATGCATCAAGAAATCATTTACAACTAAACACGAAGATCAGCACTGAAAAGCTTTGGTGATTATGATTCCAGAGCTTTTTTTAGTAGTTTAATCCAATAAAACTGTATTTTAATAACAATACTGAAGAAGGAAAATAACATTAAATGCAAATTTACAGTTGCAACATTAAGTTTTCAATGTTTTTTCTAATCATTATCAATAAATTATTTTTCTGACATTCATCTTTGAATATGTGCCGTGCTTCATTCAAAAATCATTCAAAAATAATGCTTTTCCTGTTAATTCTTCCTCATCAATTAAAATCTCATTCTTACTACTTTTCTTCAATGTTCTTTATTCTTTCTAAATATCTTGGAAAGTATAAGCAAAAAATCTAAACAAAGTCTTAATTTAAGAATTAACCCATAGTAAGAGATAATATTAAAAATAAAACAAAACACTTTACATTTCTCATGCTATTAAAATATGTAGAAAAATTATGACATAATGTAAAAATTTTAGTATTTTCATTAAAATAATTTCCAAATCTCCTAAAGGTAAATTTTAGTTCTATTAGTGCCTACATTCTCCATTGTTGTCCTTCATTCTCAAGGTCTTTAAATAATAGAAACCTTTTTGTACAATAAAACATAGTATAAAACCCTTAGTCTTTGTACAGTAAAGTGCTTTTTTAGAGATGGAATTGAATATCTGAGTGACAAAGTATAAGCATTTTTGTGCTAAGTGGGGTTTTTTTCTAAAATGGAAAAATGAAGGGAGCTAAATCTCCACTCTATGCTTTGCCTTACACATGACAGTATCAACAGAAAGATGTAAACATAGCTAAGAGAAAAATGTGATGAGTGAGTGGAACAAATATAGGCTCATCTTTTCCTCCATTACTGTGTTCTCTCTGCTTTGTTATCTCTGCTATCATGCTAACAGGATTATAAGGGAGTGGTAAACATATTTCCATCAGTCAAATAAACAGAAAAAAACTATGAATGTGATCACGCAGTGATCTATAAATAACACATTGTAACGGAGTTACTTCCTTGACCATAATCTGAATTTGAATATTACTCAAAATGCTGTATTTTCATGAGGGGGGAAAATGATGTGTAGGGAATTAACTACAGCACTGATATTGTTAAATTTAAAAATTTAAAGTGTATACTGGCTAAATGAATGTGCTGACTATACTGGTATGAGTTTTCCTGTTGCATGTGTGCAGCTGTATTGTACATGCTGTTATTGGAGTAAGGAGATACCTCCGATTTTCTTTAAATCTAAAGATATTTCCTTTTCAGAGACGAATACTGGCAGTTGCTTAAGTCTGCAAACTGTCACATTATCTCTGCTGGAAGCATACAAAACAAAAAACATCTTTTCAGAAGGATGTCGAAATAAAATGAGATGAGTAATTACCTCTTAATGGTAAATGACACTTTTTCAGAGTACAGTCCTTCTGGCACAGGTTCTCATATAGCCCCAACTGCCTGAAAAATAAACAATCTATGGTTTGTTGAAGAAAAACACTCCATTATTTATTTCAAGATCCCGTATGATAAATATTGTGTCTTGAAAGAACCTGATAGGCATTACATCATCAGCTCTAAGTTGCAAAACAACTTAGAGCACATCTTCTAACGCAGAATATCACTTCCAATCAGGTATCCACATTAATGTATACAATCACTGCAGACTGAAGTGCTACAATATCAAAATCAAGGAAACAATAAACACAAGCCCCCAATTATTTATTTTAATTCAGGAAATCTTCTGAAGATGTAATATAAAACGCTGTAGAAAATCCAATACTACAGTACGTCGATATATCTGAAGCTCCTATCCCCAAATGCAATGAGCAAAATATGCCAGTCTGAGAGGTAATAGCATATTAACATTTACAAGCAATTTTTGCAATTAGAATGGCAAGATAGCAATTCACACAATGATAAACACTTGTGCTCATTTACACATTAAAACTGAGAGCAGTTTGTGCATCTATAACCTCAAACAAATTCCCATGGATCGTGCAGAAATAACTGGTACATTGATCTGGCAAATCTGAATACCTTAGTTGCCAAGGAGAGCATATTGGTGCTGCAAAACAGTGGGTTCAGAGTTGCCATCTGATAAAGGATGCATCTTACAGCCAAGACATCATCCTTCTCTCCAGCCTTCTCTCTCTTTACAACTTCAGGACTAAGTAGAAAGCAATGCAAGTTACAAGCATTGAATGAATTCACCTAGAACTAGGCTTATTTTCTTAAAAACCCCACCCAATATTTATTTAGTCACTAAAACATAATTTCAGAGCACACACAATTATGTTCAAAAGGCTGCATTTATTTCCTTTACCAGCCAAATTCTTTAAGAGGAAATACAATTAATAGCTTTTCACCCTCTACTGAAGTTCTTCTCACAACACTAGTGGTTTTTATATTGTTCAGTTGTCCTTTCCACTCATTTTATGTCTTTGGACTTAATGGATACAAATGAACTACAGCCTTTAGAACTTGTTTACAGTGATGGTATTTCAATAAAATGAACTAGAGAATAGATAAGTACATCAGATACTCTTGCAATTCAGATATCAAAAAGATTTGAATTCAACTCCCATATTTAGAATGCTAATGGATACAGTTTTGCTATTAATGTAAGTCAATAAACTTTACTCATTGTATCATTTTCATCCTCTTAAAACTACTGTAAATGCGTTCCCTGTGAGGATGCAGCATGGACACTCAGCAGCCAGCCAGATGACAATACAAAAAAACATTATAAAGATCCATTTAAAGCAAATGTAAGAAGGCAGCAATTTCAGTTTTGACTCAGTACAAAGCAGACTCCACTTCCTTCTTTTAAGTTCCTCAGTACTTTCTGTGAACCTGAATGATAATAATTTATATTAGTAGGTTTATTCTGATGTTGGAGGTCAAGTCCTAGCAGTAAGAGCCATATCACAGCATGTGGGGTTTTTTTTCCACTTAGTATTTTCTCTCCGTAATTCTCTAAAATTCAGATACAAAAACTACGTGACTTCTTTCATCTGAAAATCAACTTGAAAACCTACTTTATGTTACCCCCTTCAGCTTAGAATTTGGAACCACTCTATCAACTTCATAATTATACTACTGATATCTTTGGCAAAATGCCTTATTTTGGAGCTGAGAGGTACTGTGTAAATTCAGTTAATGATGCTAGAAGGTGTCCTGCTGCTATGTATAAAATGCAGACAAAAGATTTTTAAAATAAATGGGATGAGGTCCCTAGATAAATTACGATAAGATAAATTAAATTAACTTAACAGAATAGAAAGGCAGAACAGAGGTCACAGTGCGGGAGGGTGAGAGAAACTGACAGGTCACACACTTCTGATAAAATTGATCAACTGAGATACAGATTCCTGAGTGAAACCTAATTAGCAATTTTCCTTGAATCTTCTGCTGTTGTTACATAACAATAGAGTGGAACACAGGATATTGAATATGGTGTTAGAACATAATAGCATTTCTGTAATCACACTGTGATGGTCTGTGGCACTAACTCGTGACTTTGTGGAAATTTGATTTTTATGTATTAGAAGTGTCTATTAGAGCAAACATCAGTATAGCAACTTACATAGATGGTGAGCTCAAAAGGCAAAGTCCCTGCCTTTGTAAAGTTCTAAGCATGCTCCTTATTCAGAAAAAATAAATCTGACTTGAATTTCAGTCTCTCATTCTAGTGATAATTTTCACGCAGAGAGCTCAAGTTAAAAATTACTATTTTTAAAGGACTAAATTATATTAAAATATCAAATCGAGATTATTCAAGCCAAATTTGTGTAACTATGCAAAATGCCACATAGTACTCACAGAAAGAGTAAGTTGAATATAATCAAGAGAAAAACAGAAGCACCCATTACCTGGCCTACAGAATCTTGTATTTATGAACAGCAGAGAAGAACCTTGCTTGATGTCCAGAGCAAAAATACTTGAAAAAATAATACTATTATTTGGAACTCAGAGAAAGAATACAATGCTGACAAAGTTGTAGTTTCAGCATGGTTTCACAAAAATGCACAATAGCTGGAAGTTAATGAAGTAATTTGTTCTGTTTATTCATGCTGAAAGATTTCGTGTTCTAAATGCACATCTAATACCTTTTTCTTTTTCTTTCTTTTTAATCAAAAGGAGGACTTACAGCAGAGTACTATTTGATCTTTTCTTCCAGAACAAATGTTTTAGTCAGAAGTCTCTAGTATTTAGAGCATTAGGATGACCAACACCATAAAAAATACTGTCTTATGCTTAAGAAATACTTTAAATTAGCAAAGTAATATTTATTTAAGGTGACCATGAAAGCTTTACAGCAAATATAAAATCTCATACTTACATGATGCTATACTTTCATGGCTAATTCATACTGTAATTTAGATTGTTTTAATAGGATTTTCAAATATTATTTATTTACTTTTAAGAGATCTAGTGAAATCCCTCACCATGCTCTACAGGCTTGCCTCACCATCTGCTAGTTAAAAATGTGGGTGGGGTACAGTACTTGTTGACTAGCAAAACAGTTCTGCAGCCAGTTGCATCTTTTGGATCCACGCTATTGAGGGATGCCAAGCAGAGAGAGTACCCAGTTCTGTTCCTGAACACTGACACCCACAGACAGGAGGGTGGTGGGAGTACATATGGTTTGCCTAATTCAGTTGACAACTGTGTATAAACTGTCACTGTCTGGTCAAGATCAGAAAGAATGAGTAGAACCAGTCTTACTCACAAACACTGAAAATTTAAGGGCGTTGTGTTGGTATGACCTTTTCTCGGTTTATTTGTAAAGGCAGGATTCTCCCTTAATTCTTAGATTTAGATATCTCACTTGGTTGAAATAGAACAGTGGTACTAATTAAATTTTTAGCAAACAGATGTCCGCATCAGTTTCAAATGCATTCAGTGTCAAAACAGAACACAGAAAGGGGGGAACTCTACCTGACAAAGAATTAAATTTTCATTGCTTCAAGGGCTGATTTTACTGCCACAGAGCAGCAGTACTGATGCTATGCTCTATGACATTCACAGTTCTTAAAAGTGGTGGCAGATACTTATTTAATTAGTCACTTAATTCTTGCAGCTAACATATTGAGGATAATCACTACAGTTATCATCTAAGTTTACAAATCACCAGTCATTTTTAAATTACATATTCAAGTTGAAAAAGCTTACTCCAGCAGCATTAGGTTAACTATAAGAGGGTCCCTTAATAAACAAATGTCCATAGCAAAAGCAAGACTAAATTCTTCTAAAGGAAAGACACAGAACTATATCTACAGAATAAATGTCCAAATTCTCAGCATCTTTTAGCAAACCATTTTATAATTGTTTTTCAAAAAGTTCACTCTTGCTCAATATACAAGCATTGTTTTTATTCCTAATAACAAAGTCTTCCATTCAAACAGCCTTAAAATGAAGCATTGCTTAATCCAAAGAGTTATTTGTCTTTTCTTCTGAACTACTTCTGCAAAATTAAGTAGCTATTTTAAATACAGAAAATAGCTTTCCATACTACCCCATATTTTTAATTAGGATTTAAAAAAAATCACAATAACCAAATCTTTTCAGTATTTGTGCTACTTGTAAGATATCAAACATATTTAACTAAATCATCTCTACATGGCCTTGGAGATATTTTTGCAATCAAGCTTTCATTTATAATTTTGCTTACTGATGTTATTTTGTCATGCTTTTTCTTTAAGAATACTTTTAACAGAAATTTAAACTGAATCTGTTACATTTGCACTAACACAGAGCTATATGATATATGGCTATCCTCACTCGATTAGCTCATGTTCACATTAGTTATTAGTGGACAGAAGTTCCCAAATTAAGAAAGAAGTCCTGAATTTGGAGAGGGAGGAAAAGAGGAGATGGGGTAATGAAGTAATAATTTCCTAGAGCTTCTAAAGCTTCTAAAAAATGTTGTCAATACCATCAGGTTGACCTTATATGGGGCAAAAACAGTGAAGATTTCCCAATCTGCACGGAACTTCAATAAGCCACTCGTGAGCTATCTTTCTACAGTGTTCACTGGTGCTTCCAACAAGTGTAAGAAAACGCTGGTACATGGAATCCTATAAAGTATGAGGACTGTTTTCAAATAAGACATGGTTTCAACTAGATAGTTATGAAACCAGTGTGAAAAAAACCCTACATTTACTCTATAATCAGTTCTCTGAGTCACAGAAAGAAGGGGAAAACCATAAGGAAAAAAAAAAAAAAAAGAAAAGAAGCTGCTCACCATCAGCATCATCCCAAAGGAGAAAAAAAAAATGGAAAACCAGTTGCTGCTTGTCACAGTTTTTCCTCTGGATAGTTTGCTGTAAGCTACAGATACACATTCAGTATTAGAGCTTCATAATTAAAACTAAAACCAACAGAAGAACCAGGAGCCACAGAACTGATGATTTGAATAAAGAGCTCCTGAGAACATTGCTGTAAGCTATTTGCATTTCTCACCTACATGAAAAATTCAACACAAGCCTTTTGGGAATATTCTGTCTATCCCTTGAGTGATGAAGCAGGAACAGGATTTTCAGTCAGTAGTTAAAAATTTTACTTTCACAGTTTTCTATTTTGAATGTAAGGCCAAGTAAGTCTATAATAATTTATTATGTTGTCTTCTACCTTGCTACCATTTTTTCTCATTACAAATTGTGTTAAATATTTTAAATATATATATATATAAGATTTTCTTCACAAAAGGCATCTTTTCACGCATCCTAAACTTCTACTGGCACTTAGAGAAAAATTCATCATTTCCACCATTTTTTAAAATGCACAGGAAGAAATTTACTACCTTCAGATGGCAATTTTACAGTGTGATAAATCCTCTTGCCATCAGGTGGGGAATGTAATTTTAAAGTGGGTGAAGTCAGCTAAGAGAGGCCACTTTCATATGTAATCTCTCTCACCAGTGTAATCTCAATATTTTCGTTTTCTAGTCCAAACATTGCCTGTCTCTGCCCAGAAAGTTCCTCTATATTCATATAATTTAGTCTAGAGAGATAAAACTAATCCACAGTCAGTGACAGGCCACTAATAACTGTAGGATACAGCAGACTATATAATGCCTGCCTTATGTTTTTACTAATGTCTTTCAAAAAAAACCAAACATTGGTTTGATGTGGAAGGACACTCTTCACTGCAAATAGTAATAAA